TCCTAATTCGAAGTCCGTTTTGCCAAATTCAAATTCGGTAAGCTTTTTTCATTATTTTATCTTCCAATTCGATTTGCTTTCCCAATTAAGTTATGCTTCTTAAGCAATTTCTTTTGCTATGTATCCGAGATATTTTGGGACGTAGAATTCAAGTTCAACAGTGATCAGATGGAGTTTAAATGATCGATTGGTGTAGTTCGAAAATTGAGATAATACTTTACTACATTTACATGCTTTATAGAACATATTTGTATTGGATAATGCATAAATTTTAATTATTGGTCATGTGCCTACTGATGATTATTTGAAACTAGAGCTGAATATGGTTAAAGTGATGGTAAATTAGTTAAGACTCTATTGACTCATGTAAGGAACTAGAAGACTAATAAGAAATAATTTATGGTTGGTGATTAAGTGATAAAGGAATTAACCTCAAGATCCGTAAATTCTAATAATTTTTGTTAAAGCTTAAATGTTGGAAATACTTATTACTTGGATAAAAAAATTACAAAAATTACCCTTGTAATGTAAAAAGACAAGTATTATCCCTGAAACTAGAAATAACCCTGAAAGCTATACCTTTCCTGATAAAACCCTATTAAAGGCTTGTTTTGCCTAGAAAACCTTGATAATTGATTATGACCTCCGAGATGGAAAATTAGAATTATGATTCTTGAATAAACACCTAAGGACTAATTTACTAGAAGTAATGCATATGAAAAAAATAGATGAAATAATTGAAATACCCTTGAAATGAAAAAGAGACATGGATCTCCCCAGATAGTGGAAATGACTTAAGAATTCATTCTTATCTTGATAGTACCACAAATTCATAGATTAAATTCATGATATGATTGGAAAATTATGATAATCAATCCTTAGCCTTCGAGATCCCTACATACTTGGATATTTTGATTTCAGAATAAATATCTAAAGACAAATTTATTAGAAGTATTGTATGAATCCAAATTGTTTGAAACGACTAAAATACTTTGGAGCTCCGAAATGACTAGGATAACCTTGAGCACTAAAATGACTTAAATACCCCCATGACCTAGAAATAGGTGGATGCCATTGGATAAACTCTTGAAACACCTATAAACCTAAGTGTTTTACTACCTCTAAAGGTCTTGGAGGACGAACCAAGTGCATCGACCATTCTTGATAAAGTTGCAATACATAAATAAATAATATCATCATAATACATGTTCATTTCCTCACGACCCGTTTCAATGGTGATTAGTTAAAGTAGTGCAATCAGTATTAATAAATGAATATTTTGAAAAATACTGGTTCAAATGATTAGTAGGTATCGTAGAGTTGGGATCTGTTAGTTTAATTTGACTCGAAATCCTGATAATTCAATATAAATCATGAATACTATAATTACCATTTTACCCTTGTAGGTTAAATTACTAAGAGTTCTTTAGGAATCTAAATGTCTGAAACGTTACTGATAGTCTGATTAACGGAATCAATCTTTTTATATATGAGTCTTAATTTAATTCTAATTTAAAGGTTCCTGAATAACTTTCTAGGTTATTCGAATCCTAAACATTCATGAAGTAGCAATTTCTAAAGGTATGATTAAATCATGTAGCAATAGAACCATTTTCAATAGAGACCCCATTTCCAAAATTCGATCAACTTGCAGAAGTCGTGTGTCCATTCCTCGTAATTATTGTGTACCTCTAAAAAATATCTAAATCTTCTAGTGTATTCCTTATGCACAAAAATATTTTCTCTGATTTTTAAAATATGACTCTCATATCTGAAATAAAACCCGATATTTGATATATGTTTTCTGATAAAAGATACATCTGACTCCTGATTCTGATATTATTATTTACTGTTTAACTTGTTTTATATTGAGGTACTATCCATGATCTATTATGGAGTTCTACTGGTTTAGCTCCGATCAAACTAATAATTATTTATGGACCTAAGGCGACCCTTGGGCCCAATAGGCCTAGTCGCAAGACCTTATAGACCCTAAGGCAATCCTTTAGGGTGGCTCCTTTTTTTGTGCATTAGGTAAGTCCTTATGGACCTAAGGGCACTCCACTTAGGTGGCTCTTACGCTTCGGCTAAGGTAAGTCCTTATGGATCCAATGTGCTGCCTTAGGTTTTCTCCTATACCCAATGGGCTGAGGTTAAGTCCTTACAAATACAATTTTGGGGAACTACATATCGGTGTTAGGGTGGAGGGTATTACTGTAATTTTCAAAATATGTTTACTGAAATGGACCACTACTATTTTTAGACTATTTGTACAATTATTTTTTGATTTTACTAGAACACACTAGACTCCCCAACTCAATCTTCTAAAACTATCTCTCTCTGAAATATTCATTAATTTTCTTGTCTATTACTTGAAGAATTTATCAGTGGAACCTCAACTTATGTCTATGACATGTATATGCTTGTGTCACTGAGGAAATTTCCATGCCTTACCATATATTCGATTATCTTTTAGCATTATCTGGTAGTTTTGTATTACTGAGTTTTCCCAAAGCTCACCATGTTACTTTAGGTTAAAATAATTGATCCCGTGCAGTATCGACATCAGTAATGGGAGTTCCTTTAGCGTCACTTGCAGAGTACGATATAGGTGTAATTAGGAAGCATGTAGGTCGCATTTGTTTTTATATCACTGTATGAAACTTATTTTGATGTTATATATTATTGAATTCTATTTTAACACGAGAATAATTCTTGAACTTATGATTTTATGTATAACATGTTTTATGGTTTTAAAAGGTTAAATAAAAAAATTAATTTTTCTTGTATTTTTATTTTGGGTGGTTTCGGTGGCCCTAATGTGACACATTGGATCGGATCGAATCAACCGTGTCAGTCTGAGGGTGTTACATTATAATATTTTGACATAATCATTGATAAACTTATATAGTCTACTAGATTCACTGTTTATCAATAGGGTATATTACACAAATGATCACTTTCATTTGAGTTTTTTAAACTTATAGTCACTGGATTAAAAAAACATAATATATGACTACTTTCGTTTCATTTTAATTAAGATGTAGTCACTTATACGTTAGCTACCGTGAGTTAGATGATGTGGCACGTTAGTAAACCTCAAAAGTCCAATGACTACATCTAAAGTCTAGGGGTTCAAATCACAGACACATTGCCGACAATGATTTTCACAGTTGTTGGGTCTTTCCTTATCTTCAATTGATCTAAGCTCTTTATAACCAACTCTCTCAAATTTCCAATCTTTACCAGCAGAAGGAATGCCATTATGCCCTCTGGAAATAAAAACCAAAAACAACAATTGAATCATCACAAAACACCAAAAAAAAAAAAGATTTGATTTTGACACAATGGCTAACGATATTTGTTAAAGAGAGGGTGTTGTTGATTTTGGGTTTTAGATAGGTTTGGAGGAAGAAAATATATGGAAAAGGAGTAAATTGATCTTTTATTTTTTGAACTATTTTGAGTTTACAAAAAAACTCATGATTATTAATTTATCCAAATATTAAGGGTTCAAATAAAAATTAAATCTTTTTATAAACGTGTCATGTCATTCAACTCACGACAGCTAACGTCTCAATGACCCACCTTATTTAAAACAAAACGAATTTGATCATTTATTATGTTTTTTGAATCTAGTGACCATAAATTTATAAAACTCAAACGAAAGTGATCATTTGTGTAGTTTACCCTTGATAATAAGATTTATTTAACTTATCAACTTATAAATAATCATGATAATCATAATCCTGACACCAATATCAGGGGTCGATATATAAATTATCATGCAAAATTAAAGAAAAATACTCTTTCTCTCTGAATGGTTCTCTACGAGTTTATTTCACTATTCATCATCTTTTTCATCTCATGAATCATTGATTATGATGAACCGCCTACAACTGTTATAATTATAAGTTTTCCATCAAGAATTAATATATTAAGTGTGAATTACTTCTCGACCAAAAAAATATGAATCCCCAACCAGCCTTATTCCGCCTCCTTTTTAAATATGAATTTCTAAATTATTACCGTTTTTCATGAATATGTGTCTAAATTATTTTTTAAATGATTCTGGTGCCTAACGTTACAAACGTTATCACTTTAGGTGTTTGGGTTGTCAACGACATTAATTTCTTTCGTTAAGTGACATGTGACACAATCTGATAGTTGTAAAAAATTTATTTAAAATTAAAAAATTAAAATTAAAATTTAAAAAAACACAGAAAATTATGAAGTAACTCAAAAACTTTGAAAACCTTCATTTCAACTCCTAAACCCATGTCACCCGTCACCCTTTTCCATCAACAAAGCTCCACCCAATCTCACCTCTCTCCGACGATCAAAACCCTATGAAATTGTGATCGATAGACGACAGATCTACGTTTTATACCCCGTGAACCCTATGATGAGAATAAGATCCCACACGATTCCAATGACCAATCGACGACAACTATGGTGGCGTATGACTAGGAGGATGACATGAACTACATCGACGGTGGTGGTCATAGTCGAAAAGGACAATGACTATGGGTTAGGGTTAGGATTTAAGGATTTTAGGGATTTTAAGTTTTTTTGTAATTTAAGAGAAATTAGGGTTTTTTATAACTATAATAATATTTTTTTAATATTTTTTTAAAAATAAATTATCAAATTGTGACACGTGTTACTTGACAGAAAAATTTAATGCCATTGACGCCCAGACAATTAAAGTGGTAACGTTTAACATCGAAATCATTCAAAAAATAATTGAGACACCTATTAATAAAAAGCTCTATAAATTGAACACTTATTTTATATTTAAACCTATCTTTTATGATTCCTCAACTTATCTGTTGAAAGATCTGCTAGCACTGCTCTGAAACTAGTGATAGGTAGGTTTCTGATGAGTAAAATGTATTTGAGCCCAACTTAATTGTCAATAAAATTGGCCCAATATCAATATATCTGTTTTCAAGCCTATAAATGACCCATCAGATCTATCTTCTTTCTGAATTTCCAAAACCCTAAAACTCCACCAATTTTTCTTTCTCCAACCTCCATCAGCGAAGGTGCGGCTCCTGTTACAAAGACAATTATTCTTATCGTAATTTACTTTTTATTTCTGGGTTTTCTGTTAACTGTATAAAAGTTCTAATATTTCTCTATTTCCATAGTTTCTGCTCTATTTGCTTGGATAAAGATGTATCTCCAGTTCTACATAAATGACAATGGTGACAAAGTTTACACCACTAAGGTAAAGTCCCATACTTTTTCTTTTCTTTATCTTTTATTGATAAAAATATAGTTAAAAGTAGAAATCGTCTCAGGTATATGTTAATTCTTCAATTCTTTATATTGATTATGGTGACTGAGACTTGGTGAGGACAACTTCGTATGCATAATGAAAAACTAAATCCTTTTTCCAATTCGGAACTCTTTTCTGCTGGTGTTTTAGCTTGATTTGATCTTAAACTTGTTATACGGCCGAGATTCGTTCGTTGGAATGTCAAGAACTTTATCTATTTTTCCTTGGGAGGATTTCTGTTCCATAATTAACTATCAATATTATCTTCTTTTGGAATTTTTTAGGTTTTCTAGTTTATTTATGATCAATATATCACCAGTTATTTCTCTATATTTACAACTGTATCGATTTTTGTTTGCAGAAAGAATCACCAGTGGGGTTGCCTACTCAGTCTGCTCATCCAGGTAATTATGTCTGCTGTATTTACATAATTTCCTCCATACGCTGCTGTGTTAGAAATTAATATGTTTTTTAGGGTTCTGATTTCATCTGAATCAATAAAAGAGGTTCATTTTAGTGGAGAATCTGGAATGCTCTGATTTATGTTACTAGGACTAGAGTATAAGTGTCGGATATGGACATGTATGAGACATGGCTATGGTTATATTTTAATGGAGGATCCTTGAAGTTCATAACTTCACATCCATTTGTTGAACGTGAATGTTGAAAATGGATAGATAAATGAAGAGTATGAGAAACATAGGTTCTGATTATGCATTGGTCTTTAACCATCTGTTTTGTTTTTCCTTTCATTGACAAGTTGCTAAGCAAATTTTACCATACATGGTACTCATTATAATGTTTGATGTTACTGGCTTGAATACATGTTATTAGGTTTTATTAGGATTATGACATATTTTTGAAAGTTGCATAGAAATCTTCTTGGTGAGTGTTGGTATGTTTTCTAATGACTATTTATCTTTTGCCTAACGTTTGCGCAGCTCGTTTCTCCCCCGACGACAAATATTCGAGACAACGAGTTCTTTTGAAGAAACGTTTTGGTTTATTGCCAACCCAGCAGACACCACCAAAATATTGATGGATTGAAATGTGTTGCTGTACTTTTATGAAGCTTTAATTTGAATCTGGACAGAGCACGTATAAAACTCCATAGCTGAAAGCTTGAGAATTCATTCTGTTATGCACTTGAAAACATGAACCCCAGTTTAGTAGTAAAAGTTTATTTTCTTATCTTTATCTGGACACCATTAAATCCTGACCATTCAAAAAACCAAAACCATGAATGTTTTAAACAAGATTGTTGGCATGGATATAATTGATTCGAAGAGAAACATCTTCAAGAAACAAGTTGATATTCCAGTGGTCCAGAAATATTAATGATTTTGATCTGAGAAAAAAAGGCATTTATTTCTTTAAAAAGTGTCTAAATGTATTGGCTAAGTTAGCCTTTTACTCATGCTAATGAACAGTGATGTATTTTTGTTTCTCGCAATTAAGAGCAATTAAGAGCGAGTTGGTATGGTTTTTAAAAAGTGACTTTTACAAGTTTTGTAATAACGGTTTTGAAAGTGTTATACAAAAATAAATTTTAAAATTTAATTGTTTATGATTGAAATTGTTATTAAACGTGAGTTTGAAAAGATAAAATATCTACTGAAGTAATATTATTTAATAAATTAAAAATATAACATTTAAATTATACTTAAACTTATATACATATATATCAATTTAAACTATAGTAAATTCAAAAAAAAATATTATAGTTTAAAGAAAGACAATTCACCATCAAATCTGCCAATGCAATCAAATGTGGCCCTCATGTGAACAACTCAGAAACCCTATGGAAGAGCATTCATAGGTTCAAAGGACTTCAAAAAATCAAGATTTTCATGAGGCTCATATTTAAGAACAAGAAGACACCTCACAAGCAACGATAGACGCCTAACTTGCAACCAAAGCCCGAAGGGTTTGAACCATCTGTTACGTTGGTGCCCCCAAGCGTTGAGCTCGTCATTGATCATCAAACCGTACAAACTCCATGAATTTATGACGTTAGATATTAGGACATGGATTCTATCGAATCTTGACAACCAAAACCAGTATGCAAAGGAAGCATAGAATTAGGCATTCCTATTTGACTCAATCTTATAGAACCTTTAGTTATCGAGGAATGTCATAGCGTTCGACTCACCATTGGAGGCAACAAGGTCAGCGCTAGAGAGAAGCCGTAGACACCAAAACCTGTGTACCAACCACACTGAAAGCTCGAACAATCCTCCCAAAACCAATGTAACCGGTGCGTATAAAGGAGATAGAAGGAAGACAGCACGTTGGTTGAAACCACTAGCAGAATGGTTTAAAGCCAACACCGACAACAGCTACAATCGAGAAAATGGATTATTCAAATGTGGGGTATCATTAGAGACCATGTATGTAAATGTATTCTTGGGTATTACAAATTCATAGGAGTGTGCCCAATCATGGTAGCTGAACTATTGGGGGGGGGGGCTATATTGGATTAACAAACGGATGGGAGCTATGGAGTATGGATTACTCACCTAGAAGTTGAACTTGACAGCATGGATGTTGTTCGTATGCTGATGAAACCGAAAGCAGGAAGAGAGAGTCCACAGTTGCGCTCCACATCCGTGAGATGTTAAAGAAAGAATGGACAGTAACAGTTCTTCACACTGGAAGAGAAGACAACCAGATCGCAGATAAACTGGCTAAACTAGCAACCCCTACGGACATAGAGGCCCACTGCCTCGCTACGCCACCCGCAGAGATAGAATGCTTCAGGAAGAGGAAGATTTAGCTTAATAGAATCATAGTAGCTTGTCATTTAGTTAAAAAAAAATATATGAATTATATCGATTTAAACTATAATAAAAATATAAAAAATATTTATATAATTTCCCATTAATGTTTTTATATATAAATCATAAATTTTATTTATTTTTAAAAAATTAAAATAAATGATTAAAAGTAATAAATTATTTTTTAAATGTTAGTATTAAATTATTAAAATAAAATAAAAATTATAATTTTATTTCAAATATGTAAAGTGGAAAATGAAAAAACTAAAAATCTTAGTTTTTGCAATTTGTTTTAAAACCACCGTTTGCCCCTTATATATTTTTATTAGTTTGACATTGATTTTACGTTTAATACAGAATTTTCAACTAAAATTATTTTTAAAAAACATTACCAAACGTCCCCTAAGTGCCCACTATTGAAAGTTCTTTTAATTGAATCCAACATTTCTAAAGAGTCTTCAATTCTTTCTTTTTCTTTTCAGTTATTATTATTTCACATGCCGCGTTGGTCGGATAGCGATTGTGCTTGGATTGGATAAGGATACTGGTTGAAGTTTCAGGCAACGCGTCCTCGTCTTTGCATGCTATACAATATTTTTATAGTAATAATTTCAAAAGTTGGTGCTTTAATCTACTTTCACTTTGTTAACTTGTAAGTTGTGTTGACGGCAAAAGTGGTACAGTGGCCGCCGTACACGGTTCAGTTCTTTTGGTTTGGGTGTATGGACGAATGCATAAATTTAAATTATGAATGAATTTGATCTTTAAAATTCTATGAGGCGAATTTAGACATATAAAATTTCAGGGAACAAAATATATTTTCAATAGAAATATATAAAAAAAATCTAAATTTTACAATAATTTTGAAGTTTTAGGGATAAAATATAAATTAAAGACATAATTATAAATCAATATTAAGAATTGAGGGATAGACTTCATACGATGAAGAAAAACTAGTGATGTAAACTCCATGTTCATCCATGCTCGCATACTTTATCCCTGTCAATATGCCTATACGTATCTTACTATATGATATAAATATAATGAAATCCCCATCTTATTATCCTGCAACAAGTAAGGAGTATGGTGACATGCATGCATTTCGTCACTTAATTTATGTATTCTGAAATTCACGCAAAGCTTTTGGTGGCTAAAATATAAGATGCAAATAAATTATTAAGTCTATAAGTATGATATATATATATATATATATATATATATATATATATATATATATATATATATATATATATATATATATATATATATATTGTGCTTGAGGCCTTGAGCATTGGTCACATACACCGTGTTTAGCAGGGCAAACAATGAAAACGAAGGCAAATTATAAACCAGATTGAAACGTGAACATATATCCAGATCCTGTAATTTCAGTTTTTGTTCCTTTATCGTAAACGGGACGAAATTAGGGTTTCACGACGGAAAGCAGCCCCTCAACTTTTAGAATTTAACACACACTTGGCGTTTCAATAATTCAAAGAAGGCAACATAAATAGAAAAAGTGCATGTACATGTGCTTCCTGAGTCTACATTTATTTCAGACAGCGGTTCCTTTGTTTATCTTCATTTTGTACAGGGAAAAGTTGTGTCCTCAAATCCACGCTAAATTTCATGCAACATGCACAAATTTGATGACAATAGTAAATACATATATATTTTTAGATTAAGTAAAAGGTTATCATCGTGATGATCTAGAAATTTATTATAGCGGGTTAAAATAAAATTTATTTTTTATAAATATAAATCTTTTTAATTGAGTGACCCTGATAATTTTTTCTTTATTTATTTATTTTAAAATATATATTTTTCTATATTAATTAAATTAAAAAGTTTTCAGCTGAAGACAAGAAAACAAATAGAAATAAAAATAAGTAATTGAAAGGAATCGTAAGTAGGTCTTCAAATTATTCATCCAAATTTACTTAAAGCCAATAACGTTAGTAGATAATATTAAAAAAATTCAAAAATTCAAAAAATCAAATATCAAAATCTACAACTTGCAACCATCACTTTCTTGGAAAACCAACACCTTACAACTTTAAGATGGCCTTGATGTAATTATCCAATAATCTAGGGGCATGTAACCATTACAACTTCTATATAAATCATAAAATTCCACATTTGTTGGCATTAATTCCCTCATCATACTACAAAGTTCATAAGCAAAGCTTCCATTTTTAAAAAAAGAATAGCATGGCTGCTATCTTCTTGGACACCGCTCCCCAAGAAATACTCTGCCCTCTCAAGGCCGAGACTCCGACACTCACTCCTTTCTCCGCCGTCGTGCCGCTTCGTTTTATCACCGTCCGAAGGCTGAACACCACCTTCATAACATTGGAAACCATCCATGAAGAAGAAACTAACACGGACGTGTCCCAAAATTCATCATCAACCTTATTATCTCCTTGTTTCTTCCAAGTGAAGAAGCCCTTGTCATCATTTAATCATAATTGCAAGTGTGCTTAGAAATGTTTTTATGGGTATATCTTTTCAATAGTAGCTTTTAAGGGTTAGGCCACTTCGGTTTTAAGTCAACGAGCTTGTGGGATACCAAGTAACTTGTACTGATATTGTACTGTAATTGATCTCTTCTCTTAACTTGACAACTTTTCTTATTTATCATCAATTATAACATTAAATTGAATTAATTAATTAATAAAAAAACTACTTAAAACTAATTTCTCTAAAGTAATTTTTAAAATTTTCTTTTAAAGTATCATCTTAGGGGTGATCCAGTGTCACCTTTGCTTTTATTATCTTTTTGTACTTAATTTTATTTTGATTTGGGAAGAACTTGAACTTACAAAATTCTAAGGGAAAAAATAAATTTCAATAGAAAATACATAGAAAAATCGAAAATATATTGTAACTTTTAATTTTCAGGAGGCCGATTGCCTCCAACCGTCACCTTTAGTCCATCCCTGTCCATGCCTACATCTATATTGCATCTAATTACATTTAGTTTTGAATAGAGACAAATAGATTATTGATAGTTACAATTTTTTTAAATAAAACATGTATTCAAAGGAATGTTTTGATTTTATTTTATTTTAGCCCTTTGGTTTTTATACAGGACTATGTTGCCTTTTTTGTACCTTGATTTTTTATATAATGCATATTTAGCTTTTTGTTTAAAAAATACATCTCCTTTGATAGTTTGTCTAACAAGAATATTCCATAAAATAATTTTGACTTTTCAAATAATTTTTTTTAAATTTTTTTATCACCGATAATTTTTTTATAAAGCTAAGGTAATTAGAAAGTACTATATGTTCTAAGTATTCTCAACCATTTGACAATGAATATTGATGTTTGAACTCGTGACCTTTAAATACACCAATAATCCTTTTAATCACCTAGATAAGTTGGTGCTCAATCACCGATATATATCTTTATATGT